AAAATAAGTGATTGCATGAATATTCACCCCCTTTAAAGCGACTGACCTAATTCAACAGAGGTCCAGCCAACTTGTGCTAGCTCTCACAATTAGGGGAATGGAGATCACCTGAGTGCAGGGACTGTGTCTCGAGTGATTGTAGGATAAAGACACCTGTGTCTGGAAGATCCATTCCCTGGTTAAGAGAAAAGGTTATTGAGAAGTATAAGTCAGGGGATGGATACCAAAAAGTTCTAAGGCACTGAACATCCCCTGGAGTTCAGTTAAATCCATCATGAAAAAATGGAAGGAACATGGCACATGTGTAAATCTGCCTAGACCGGGCCGTCCTCACAAACTGAGTGACCGTGCAAGTAGGAGACTAGTGAGAGAGGCCACCAGGACACATATGACTACTCTGAAGGAGTTACAAGCTTCAGCAGCTGAGGTGGGAGAGACTCTGCATGCAACATCTGTTGCCCGGGTTCTTCAGCTTCAAGCCGGTCCAAGCTTTATGGGAGAGTGGAAATGAGAAAGACACTGTTGGACAAAACTCATATTAAATGTCGACTAGAGTTTGCCAAAAGGCAGGTTAGAGACTCCATGGTCAAGTGGAAGAAAGTTCTTTGGTCTGATGAGACCAAAATGGACCTTTTTGGCCATCAGACAAGACGCTATGTTTGGCGGACATGAAACACTGCACATCACCACAAACACACCATCCCTACTGTGAAGCACCGTGGTGGAAGCATCTTGCTGTGGAGATGCAGGCCCTGGAAGGCGTGTAAAGGTAGGAGGTAAAATAAATGCAGCAAAATATAGGGAAATCCTGGAGGACAATTTGATTCCATCTGCAAGAGAACTACGGCTTGGGAGAAGATTAATTTCCCAGCAAGACAATGACCCGAAGCATACAGCTAAAGCTACACAGAAATGGTTTGAAGACAGCAAGGTGGATGTTCTGGAGTGGCCGAGTCAAAGCCCAGACCTCAATCCGACAGAATTTGTGGCTGGACTTGAAAAGGGCTGTTCACACCCGATTCCCCACACAACCTGACAGAGCTTGAACAGTTTTGCAAGGAAGAATAGAGTAAAATTGCAGTGTCCAGATGTGCAAGCCTGATTGAGACCCATCCACACAGACTCTGTGCTGTGATTGCAGCCAAAGGTGCATCAACTGAATACTGACTTGAAGGGGGTGAATATTTATGCAATCACTTATTTTATGTTACCTATTTTTATTTAATTGTCATTATTTTGTAGAAATCAGTTTTCACTTTGACATTAAAGGTTTTTTTTGTATTTTTTTTTTGTCAAAAAAGCCAATTTATGATGATCGTGGTTGATTTATAAAATCAATAAAAGGGTAAATCATCCCCAAGGGGATGAAAACTTTTTAAAGGCACTGTAAACTGATGAAATGCGGCCCTTAATTAAGGTAACTGATGTGTGTTCGCCAGTGCGAATGAGGCCTTCACAGAGACCCGCCAGCGTGAATGAGGCCTTCACAGAGACCCGCCAGCGCGAATGAGGTCTTCACAGAGACCCGCCAGCGCGAATGAGGCCTTCACAGAGACCCGCCAGCGCGAATGAGGCCTTCACAGAGACCCGCCAGCGCGAATGAGGCCTTCACAGAGCCGTAGAGTGAAAAATAGCTACGCGGAATGGACTTCAACTAATGACAGCGGGGGCTGGGCAGGACGCCCTGGGGTCCTGGATTTGGCCTTTTACCCAGCTCTGGTTCCGGAGTTTGCGCTTCCCCGAACTGCCGCGAGGCTCACAGCGACCACTCGCCGGACGAGTGGCTAACGGCAGCCGGGGCGGAGGGGGATCGTCGGGAGCGCTACCCGTCTTCTTAACGGGACGGGGGCAAAGGCAAAAGGACGAATATCAGCGTGAGACACGCAGCGAGGGAGAATGCGGACAGAGAGGACTTTACGGGCCACGTCGCGGCTAATAATGTACCTTTATAAAGGGATTAAGGGCTTCCTGTGGCCGGGTGCTGGGCAGGGAGCCGCTGGCGTGCACCATACATAAAACGTCCTTGAACATTATGAGGGACAGGACTTTATCCTGGCACCGCGGCCCAGATCACACTGCGCTGGTGCCCTCTGATTTCAGATCAGATGGCCGGCGTGAGCTGAGGGACCGCAAGCGCATGTACGTCCGTAAACAGGGTTCAGCAAGGACGCAGAATCAAAAGGGGCCTTTTTGTCGTCTTAAACAATTAGAAGACACGATTATTTACTACACCATAAGTGCTTTTGTCCTATTGGACGGAAACATCTCGCCTCTATCCAAAATGCACAGGTGGTCTCATTAGACGGATGAATCCGTACCAAACTCTTCCCGCCGAGAACGCGGGATAAGCGAACGAGTAAAACTGTTCCTTTATTTATTTATTTGTTTCTAATGCCGGCAAAGACACGGTGTAATGTGTCTGGAAATAGCGCGGGAGAGATCCAAGAGGAGGTGCCGGCGGGCCAACCCGCCAGGAAGGGGGCGAATCCTGCAGGATTCAACGGGACGCGGCCAGCGACACCCTCTTAACGTACCATTAGCACGTTTATTTATACCTCAGCGCACCCTGGTACACCACCAGTGCTCAGCTGGCTTCCGATTCCACAAATGCATTAAAAAAAAAATCAAATCAAATTTAGATAGATAGATAGATAGATAGATAGATAGATAGATAAATGTTTGCCTGTTTATTAAGAAACCGCTGACGGGTAGGGCGGGGCCTTGCTATCACGCTGACCAGCCAGTCGCAGTTCAGCCAAGAGTGGGCGGAGCCAGCTCTGTCTTAAAGGTACAGCACCAATCGTTGCTCTCCACAGTCCCAAAGATTTCCCTGCCTTTGGCATATTTATCATAATATATGAAATACCCTACATATGGATAGAGTCATTCTTAGTAAATGAGTAAATTATCGCAAATGTACGGTATTGCAATTATGCAATGAAACTAGAAGCAAATACGAAATCTGAGTATGATGTCTAACAACAAGAAGGGTTAAAAAATATATATACACATCTAGTCATCTGTAATTGAGGTAAAGTGTTTGGCAGAGTCTAATAGGTTTCAAGATGGATAGACGGGGAACGTATGGCTATACCGGGGGGGGGGACCTTCTCCGTGGAGGGGCAGTGCGGGTTTTTGGGACGGAAATGTTAAACTTTAAAGGAGCCTCATACATTATCTGCAGACGTCGTCAGCCACCTGCAGCGCAGAGCCAGGCTCTAACACATAACGTGTGACGTGTCAGAGGACAGCAGCGAGGCCGTTTGTCACTGTCCCGAGCGGCGTTTCCCAAAACCGAACGGAGAAACATGATGGCAGAGGGAAGGACCAAAATATCCCAAATAGCCTGGAAACTTCACTGGGTTTCATAATAATAATTTCATAATAAGTTATGAAACATCACATCTCAATTCCCTGCTGGTATTTGTGGTTCCTTGGGCCAAACAAAGGAACCCTTTCAGTTATTTATCATGCCCCAAGCAAAAGTGTATGGATATGATGTCTGAGATGAATCATTTCCGGGTCAAAGGGCACGGCTCATTATAAAACCCCCAGTCCCTGGCTGCTTTCGAGCTGTCCAGCCAGAAGTTCATCATCAGATATTAAGGCACCAGAGTTACGTGTTTGAAAATTCTGAACTGATGCAGCTTGTTCGCTTCATATCATTTGGACCACAATTCTTTGCTGTCAGGGTTAGCAAACAGGCACAGACTTTTAGCAGAACCTGGGGTCACTGAACATTGTCCCCGACCCTGGAGAGGTATACAGACCACAAACGGCCTAAAGAGGCATACAGACCACAAATGGCCTAAAGAGGTATACAGACCACAAATAGCCTAAAGAGGTATACAGACCACAAATGGCCTAAAGGGTTTATTTTTCAGCCCTGAAAATGCACCAGGCTCTCTTTGGATCGGCACTTTCTCCAGACTCACTCGCGGTTCGGACCTAGCGGGAACTGCTATCCTTTAATAGCTGGGTGCCACCGCACTAAAGACCCCCAGAATGATCATATGACAGGTCGGACCTCCGCAGAGGGGACGATCCGGTCCCACGGCCATGATACTGATGCGGTCTCCCCCGTTAGCCCTCCATGCAGAATCAGAGGGGCAGATTGTGCCCCGGATGCCCGGCGTGCACCAGTCACGGCGCGGCCAGTGCAGACACGCCCGCCAGGCAGCAGTCTGGGAACCTGCGAATTGAGTCCGTGTAGCAGTGCAGCACAGGGGGGGGGTGCCCACGTTCCTGCCCATTCAGATCTCAGAGGGTGTGAAGATATTAGCTTCCTGTCTCACAGTTTCAGCAGTGAATGGGGGGATTGTTACTTATTAGCTAGTGTAACATATCTTTCACGTTTCTTGTGATAATGCAGCGAAATGAACCCAGACACACGACCTTCTGCAGATTTACGCAGGAAAACATAATGAGCAGAAACTGGAAGAGCGACAGACAGACTTCCGACTCCAAAACTTTTGCACTATAGGAAAAAAGGCGGTTCTTGTTTTTGACGGATTTCTCATGTTTCTTTAGTATATTTATGCTCCTTATGTTTAAACAATTTCCCCCACAATACATTCATATATTACATTTATCAGACAGTTTTTCCCCAAAGCGACATACATTTAAATAATAAAGTGTTATTGTATTTTATACCCAGTTTTTGTCTCAAATCCGGACATATGGGTGTACAAGGTTGTGCAGAAATGTGCGTGTTTGCGTGTAAATGCCTGTGTCTCTGTGCCACGAGTCTGGCCACTTTTTCCTGCGAGTCGCTAACTCTGCCCACAGCCCAGTTTGCGGAGCCCGCATGAGGGAAGACTTTACCATCAGCTGCACGTCTCATTGGGGCCAGGGAGAGACAGATAGAGGGAGACGGAGAGAGATGGAGATAAAGGCAAAGCGAGACGGGCAGGGAGGACGAGATGAAAGATCAGCGGCAGGAGAGACCGAAATGGAAGGAGGCAGAGAGGAGGAGGGGGGGGGGATTGGCTTGTCCCTACCTGCCATGTCAGCCACGTCCGCCGTGGAGAGGTTACGCGCGTTGGGCCTCACCTTGAAGGTCACCACTGGGCCGACCACCCTGTGGAGATGAGGAGAGTGGAGTTGAGAGAGAGGAGCACATGCGTCTCCCCGTGGGGGGGGGGGAGGCGGCAAAGCTTTCCTGCTGCCTGTTCTTTAAATGGGGGGCGAAATCGAGTCCGTATAAGTACCTGAAGAGGGGGTCGCCAGCAGTGAACCCAGTGTGGATAAACCGCGACCCCGCCACCACATCCCTGCCGCCACATCCCTGCATCCACATCCCCGCCGCCCCGCTCACTCCACGTCTGCCCACAGTCGCCGGCCGCCGTTCGTCTCTAACGCGGCGACGGTACCGACGGAGAATGTGGAGCAGTTACCGCTGGGTAAGATGAGTTTCCGCGGCCCCATCACTGAAATCCAATTGGTTCCTCGGGCTGGGGGAGGGGCGTGACGGTATTTGGGGCCAGTTGCAAACGGGATATTGCAAGGTGGGGAAGACTCCGGAATTTGGCAGGATCGTGGACCCTGTAAGTCTCACAAATAATTTTTTTTTGTGGGGGGTTGAGCGTCAAAAGTCCATTCGATTCAGGGGTTGGTGTGGCTATGAATTCACATTTACAAGGCATCCAGGGGGTCTGTCAAACACACACCTGGTGTTTCTATGAGATGGACGAGGCCCCCTTACTGTTAGAACACCCCCCCCCCGCCCTGATCTCCCCAAGATCATGCTCCAAGTTTCTGCGCACAAACTCGCACCAGTGTGTGGCTGGGGGAAATTCCACACCCCCCCCCCCCCCCCCAAGTCCCTACACCAATCTGCGGGCATGGCTAGCACATTCAAATCGCAGGCAATCTACCTGCCAGCGTAGAAAATGAAAATTATGGTAATAAGCACCATAACTTCAAATCTGAGGAGGTTTCACTAAACTAATCATAATCACCCGAGACTGTACCATTCACAGGCTTTGGCAAAAAAAGAACACGTCAAGCAAACTGCTAGCAGAGCTTCTTTGTAGAGAGGTTTCGATACCAACACAGACCGAACAGCCACTGAATTCGTCCTGATTTGCAATGCTGATTGCATTATAAGTGTAGAGACTGTAAGACATCACAAGGCACTCCATTTTTTAAAAACATTTTTAACTACATTGCTGCTGTTCTCTGAAATGGGTGCAAATGTAGGGTTAAGTCTAATTCAGCCCAAGCTACGCATGATCTGCATGGCTGAGTTCCGCCACCTGGTGGTCATGCTGTGCAGCACACGTGTGTGACAGCTGGGGAACGACGACCGGTGGCTGGATCGCCGCTCGGACCCGCGCCATTGTGCTTAAAACGGCCGAAATAGCGAGAAGGTGACCTAAAAATCACACACGCCACAAGATACTGAGTCCATTTCATTCCCTCTCGCTCCGAAAAGACAACCCAATTGGATCTGCACAGCGTGGATTAGCCCCTCTGGTGATCCAGGAATGAGGAGCGGCGTCACATACAAAAAAAAATAAATAAAATAATCGACCACAGAGCGCCCCCTACTGGGCGGGCCCTAATGGCACACAAAGAGCCCCGTGTTCTAGCAACCGTCCATTGCTTCGTCGCAAAGGCCCCCTTCAAAAGGAGGCAGAGACAAAAGAGACGTTAGTTAGGGGGGGGGGGTGCATTCAGAGAGCACATAGCCTCCAACACCTGTGAGTCATACACGGCTGCGCACTTAGAAGCCATTTTCAAACAAAAAGCATCAAAGACGCATTACACTGCTGCATTTGTGGGAAACACTGTTCACTGCCATCCGTCCAGGTCTCGCTTCCATTTGCCAACATCCATTTATGTATGAAATTTCACTTTCGACTGCCTATGGGAACAGGAGAAGGCCGGCGTGATTTAGATCAACCTAAGATTTATTGTCACGTCGCAATATAGTATAAGAGAGTGTGGAATTGCAAACAACAATATGTATTTATATTATATAAAAACACATATAAGGATAGTAATGACAGTAATATGAATAAATATGAACATAATAGTGCAAAAGGTGGAAAGAGAGCTTGTCAAGAGAGAGTAATGATTGAAAGAGCAGTAAATATAATGCAGTGGTACATAATGCAGTATAATGCAGTGGTACATAATGCAGTATAATGCAGTGGTACACCCTGACTAATACAGTTAGTCTAGGTTCAGCAGCCTAACAGCCCAAAGCCCGTCGGTATTGGACCCGGTACTGTGGTACTGTCTGTCAGATGATGTTAAGAACTTTAGCCGGACTCTGAGTCACGTTCTGTACACCTGCAGTAGGTCCGGCGTGTAGCTGGGGTTCCGTTAGAGGGCGGTGACGGCCTTTCTCTCTGTACAGCACCATCATTTGGAGTCACCTGCTTACGGGATCCTCCTTCCCTTAAGGGGGCAGCTGGGTTGTGATCTAGTGGCCCTGGCATGAGATTCGCCCATTTTCATGCCCGCCTAACCGTTCACTGACCACTCGTGCTCCGTCAGAGGAGACGTTGTTCCGGAACATTCCTCTCCCGTCAGGATAGAACAGCTTCAGCGCAGGTTGGAGGTGACGGCCCAGAAAGGTTCTGTATTTAGGGGCGTTTAGCGTGCCCTAATAGGTCAAGTGAGGCCCAGACCATAGCAGAGCCTCCTGCACCTTCACTGTGGGAGAACAGAGCCTTCTGCACCTTCACTGTGGGAGAACAGAGCCTCCTGCACCTTCACTGTGGGAGAACAGAGCCTCCTGCACCTTCACTGTGGGAGAACAGAGCCTCCTGCACCTTCACTGTGGGAGAGCAGAGCCTCCTGCACCTTCACCTTCACTGTGGGAGAGCAGAGCCTCCTGCACCTTCACCTTCACTGTGGGAGAGCAGCCCTGGAGCCCGAAGGCTTCTCTTGCTGTGGGAGCCGCACACGCAGCCGTCCGCTTGGCCAGCGCCGGGTGACTCATCTGACCATATGGTTTTCCACAGCGCTCTGTAGACCACTGCCCGTGTCCTCTGTACTACCTGCAGAAGTATCTGCACTCCCACCAGACCGTGGACTCCATCTCCCTGTTCTTCCTTGCATCTTGAAGCAATGCATATATATTGTACAGATCTTGTATCTGCGACATTCACCGTTGCCTGTAGGTGATGGTGTCTGTCCATCAGTCGTCCATGTTTAATTGCAGCCACTGTTCCTCATGAAACATCAGTGTTCAACTGCTTTTGTCCCCAGAACATCTGCCAAGCCCCCCCCCCCCCAGGACTTACCCTCCTCCCTGTCATGGAGAAGATTCTTCTACCCATGGTTGCCAAAATAACGAGGACCTGAGCTGCTCGGCACTTTTTCACATTACGCTAAGCATGATGGGATATTAACAGGGTTGGGCAATTCAGGTCCAGAGAGTAAAAGTCCAGACCGGGATTTTGTTTCAACCAACCAGTTGTGCACTCTGTAACTGTGACTCATTATGCCCTACTGGTTTGTTGAAACAAAATCAACAAACAAAATCCCGGTCTGGACTTTTACTCTCTGGACCGGAATGACCCAACTCTGAATATTAATAGCTTAATTAACTCAAAAGACAGATCCGTGGGGAAGCAGCTGCTTTTCATATGCTGTATATCCAGGATTTACTCAAATATTTGCTTTATTTTGATAGTTACCAGCAAAGGAGAGAGAATTGGAGGGGAAGAAGAGTGGCTGATGGGGTAACAGCCAAATAAATATTTACAATGACACTGATATGTCAAGACACTGATGGGAAGATAAAGGCCGTCTCCCATCATCCTTTGCATGAGATTCTCCCACGTGGTCAAGTACCTGCCGGGGCAGGAGCTGTGTTCAGGTAAAGTTCACGCTCCCAAAATGGGACGATGTAGTAATAATCGCAGCTGCTGGGTGACTGACCTGCTCATCAATAACATGCCTGCGTGTGGGCGAGTATTTATGAGCTGTCAGCTCGCATAATCACCTTTTATGAGGCCTAAAACGTTTGTTTGTTTGTTTGTTTGTCTGCAACAATGTGTTTTTGTGCCTGTGTATGTACTCAACGCCCACAATGATGATTGTGTAATTCCAACAAAACAAACTGATAACAAGACTGGACCAGCTGACGGCCGAGGGCATCTTTAGATAGAATGCGACCTCGTTTAGATGTAACGAGAGCCCGTGGAAGTCCAATCGCTCCGCGGCCGATCGATGTACTGTCACGCCTTCTCTACGGAATGTAGCGCTGTTTGTGCCATGACCCGCGAGCTCGCATACCACAAACACGTCACCCCCGCGAGGCCTCCTACTGTCCAATAGACCAAAACACAGTGAAAGGAAGATTGGAAGAGAGAAGCAGATCCCCACGTACGAGAGCTCGAGGATATCCGTCATCTGCAAGCCGGCACGCCGGGCTAGCAGCTCCATCAGGTGCAGGCCTTGGTCGGTGGACAGGGAGCTGCGGAGAACAGGAAGGGGCGGGCAATCAGGGGTCAAAGGTCAAAGGAATAGCCTTCATACTCAGCTCGCCTCCGCAGTGACGAAGGGGTCAGTGACTAAGTGCGTACCCAGGGATGTGAAAGGATGTGCAACTCCATCACTGAGGCCGATGTGATGCACATCTTGATCTATTGCCAACTATCTGATACCTTAAAGATACATATGAAGTGATTACTATTCCGATACGATACGATGAGTCGGAATCGGTCCAAATATTAAATTATTGGCCACATTTCTAAATAATAAAGGCATCGGGCCTCTACTAATAAACACATATTAATAAACTGGATTTCACTGATGCAGAGATACAATGGGTCCTGAGTTCTTCCCAAATTGTATACGTTGCACACTTTTTATAATCAGGCCAATCGCATCGTGAACTTTTACGCGCATCGATGAATCTTACCAGCCGTGCTTGGTAGTATAATGCAAGGCTATATCTGATAAGCACCTTCTGATAAGTGTTCTGCAGTACGATGACCTCAGTCTGAGGATCGGATTTAAATGTATAAATTACTTTAAGCATGTATCTTATGCATTTCCCATAGGCAGTAGAGTGAAATATCGGTCAGGGATACGGAGAAAAGTCTGATGTAACGGTGATAATGGGGAAAAGCGACACAGATACACAGTGGTCTGAAATTGTTTCGGATAAATAGCCCCCCCCCACACACACACACATTCTGCTGGGGGATGTTTTCTGTGTTTCGGCCTGTAACACTGTCTAGGAGGTCAGAGCAGGGGCTGATGGGACATGCCCTTCACATCAGTTCAGTCACATGGTGTTTTCATCCAGCCTGACTGGTGCAGGGATACAGCCAATCAGAAGGCTGGACATTTCCAGCGAGGTGCCCCAGTGTTGCGGAGTGAGGCATTTGGATCTCTAACCTGAGAATGACTATTCCGAGCCCTAAATCCTTGAGTTGGATTAAACAGTCAACTAAAATGTAATCATTTCTGCTTAAGGGTCCAAAAGCAGCCATTTTGGTCACACATCCATCCCCAGAACGACCTGACCAATCTCCCTGTTCGATGACAGGCTTCTTGGAACCAATGCCTCGCACGATCTCTGCAAGCCAGTCTGGTGTGAAAACACCATCTCACCTGGCTCCCGTTATTGGCTACAGCTACTTTTGTTTTGTTTTTTTAAAGCTCCGCCTCCATCCTAGAGTTGCCCAATCACATTAAACAATATATTGTGGGATTTATAATGATATTGTGTGGTTGGTCATACGACCCAGAAAAGCCTCTTTGTAAGCTGACTGTGGGCTCGGTAGGGTGAACGTTTGGCAGGCGTGGGGGGGCGGGGGGGGGGCACTGACTCGGTGTCAGTGATGATGTATCCGTAGTCGTCCCTCCTCTCGGCCATGGACACGGACTTCACGTCGAGCTGCAGCTCCTCCTCGAAGCGCATGTCCTTCTTCTGCGGCTCGGGGACGCCCCCGAGGTGGGCGGGGTCTGCCGTTTGCGCGGCTCCGCGGGCAGGGGGGGGCGCCGCCTCTTTCTTCTCCACGGCGATGTCCGTCTGGGTGGTCCTGCTCTTGACGCTCTCCACCCCGATCCCGTGGGAGCCTGCCGCCCCCTGGCCCCCCCCCTCCTCCTCCGAGGCATCCCTCCGGGGGGTGTCGCTGTAGCTCGCCTGGTCCAGGTACTCCAGCAGCTTGCTGACCAGGCTGGGATCCTGCGTGTAGACGGGGGGCTTCAGCCGACACTAACAGGCACAAACAAAGCTTACCCCAGTGTACTGGGTCACTGAAGTAACCAGTAGGGGAATGGTAACAAACTGCTGGGAAAAACCCACTGCATGCCAAAAAGTACAAATCCAGACCAGAATTTTGTTGCAACCAACCAGTCGAGTATAAAGAATCACATTCACAGAGTACTCAACTGGTTGGTTGAGACAAAATCCTGGTCTGGACTTCAACTTTCAGGACCTGAACTATACATGTCTGAGACTAATAAATACAATACTGTGCTAAAGTCTAAGGCAGTCAAATGAAATGCTTAAAGCTGTTTATGTAGACAGTGAGTGTGTATTTGCTCAAAACAAACCAAAATAATCCTTTTGAAACATGCACAAATTAACAGTAATAATAAAAATAAACAGGATTTTTTTTCTTTTCTCCGAAATATGATACTGATATCTAGCTGGACGGTGAGATGAACACAGCTTCAGTTCCCAAACCTCTCCTCAGGGGCACCTCAGCCGTACCATGGATTCGTTACACTTCTTCTCTTAATTAATAAATATACAGTAATTAGTTTAAAAAGTCAATGAGGTATTCATTAGCGATTCAATGTGTGCTAGTGGTCAAGTCAAAAAATATATGGGTATATTGGAAGGTTGTTGCAATAACTGGGGTGACAATAGGAGAGGTTTTTAATTGGCTAAGCCGACACACTATGACAGACATAATATCATAATTTTACACCAACATGAAGATCAATTAAACATTTCCTTTGACTGCCTATGACGTTGGCAAAGTTCGGTATATTTATATTCCAACCTGCCTGCCCTATATATTGTTGATGTAAGTGCTATCCCTTTTTCAGTTACAGAATGGAGATACAGTTGATCAAATCGTCCACCTGCTTCAAATAGTCAAACAAGGCTTTATTTGCATGCATGTGACATTGCAACACGTATGTAACATTCACTCGCTCTTTCAACCCATTAGTCTGTTCATACATGCAGGGTAGAATACCTTATCACCAGAGTTCTGCTTTTCCACCTCCTCTGTTTGTTGTTCTGTCGGAACAAAAGAAGCATATCAGAGATCAGCCATCTTCCGACCGTTTATCCTGATCCGAATGACGAAGGCATGAGATACGCCAGGCGTCAGAGGGCACAAAACTGAGGAAAACTGCCCTTCCTCTAATCATCTTCCAATTCGGGCACGTTAACCACGGCGCCACCTACTGACGGGGGCGGTACCTTGCAGCGAGGCATCCTCAGGCAGCGATGAGGTGGGCACCGGGTCCCTCTTCATCTCCCTCTGGGCCCCCCTGAGCCGCGCGCCCCCGGCAGCCTCTGAGTCCACTACCTGGAGGGTGTCGGCGATGGAGTCGGCCAGCTCCTCCAGCTGCCGGCCGCTCAGGGCGTCCACGTCCACGCTGTGCCGGCCCAGCTGCGTCACCACCTTCTGGATGAACTCCTCTGGGAAGGACACGTGGCAGGGGGGGCATGGTAAGTCCTCCCACCATCACCAAAGCCCCGCGAGATCCGGGGACGGACTGAAAGCGAGCCTCGGTGCTGCCTCTAATTCCCGTCCCAGACTGGATTATAAACCGTCAAACCATTTTGCTTTTACAATGACAACGAACAAAGGCTAACTAATTAAATAAAGAGGACAAGGACAGCATGGTGGCAGGTGAGTGGAGTTTGCACATTCTCCTTCTGTCTAGGCTCTATTCTGCCGCCAAAGAACATGCACTTAGTTTAATCAACATCTCTAAATTTCATTTATGCATTTATGTGCCCTGTAATGGACTGGCATCCCATCTCAGGTATTGCCTGCCTAATTCCCCATGTTGCCTGGGATCGACTCCAGACTCCCTGCACCCACATATTGGATAAATAGTTGGATCACGGATGGATGATGTAATTGGTAAGACAATATCCATCCATTTCCTATAACTGCTTTTTCAATACAATGGTCGAGGCCAAGCCTGGAACGTACGACTGCTCCATGACAGGATGCAGGCCGGAACATTCACATTCCGAAGATAATTCATAAAGACAGATCCATCTAATCAATCTCCATTTGGCTAACGGAGGAAAGCGGAGAACCTGGATGGACCACACAGAGGCGCAGCGAGAAGAAGCTTCGCACACGGTCTGTCAAGGTGTGAGGGCACCACTATGATGCCGTGTAAGAGACCAAGACCTAAAAAGGCAGGGAGGCGGACAGAGACCGTCAGAGCGGCTGCTCATGAATATTCATCATGTACCATCAACTTTAGTGAGGGGTTCCTTTGTCTGGCGGGAGCCAGACTTGAAGAGGAGCTTGTCGGTTTTTGGTCTTTGGGGTGATGCTTGCGGAGGGGCTGCCCCCCTGTGCCCATCCAGGCTCTTCGCCAGGCCCGGTGCCCATGCTTCTGCTTCTCCCCGGGGTCCGCCCGCCGCAGGCCGGCCCCCCAGCCTCCCCGCCAGAAACCTCTGCAGCGCGGCGATGAGCTCTGTGTCCTCGCCCCCAGGGAGGCGGGAGTGTGCCGGCGGGGGCTTGGCGGCAGGGGGGGCCTGGGATAGCAGGGAGCTCTGGGGACCCCCTTTGGCCGGGGACTTCGGACGGAAGTAATCTGCCAGATTCTGAGGGCCGTCCTATGAAACGCATAGCAGTTACATGTATTATAAAACCAAAGTTGCAATTGCATTGTGGGAAAACTTACAAACAAGGAGTATGTATTACCCGGATAATGAAACAGAACCACAAGTGTCAGGTTTCACAGTTTTTAGGCTCGTGGGAGTTTTACTCACACAAAAATGTTCTGAGGGCAGAAGGAACAATGATTGGTTCAGAGAGAAAACACATTGTAGAGGAGGTGAGTCCAAGCAATTAGAGGAGGCGCGACCAAAACATCCGATTGGTTGGTCCTGCCTCCTCTAGTTGCTTGGAAACACCTCTACAATCTGATTGATTATCCCCGTGAACTAATCTTTTATCCATCTGCCCCCAGAACATTTTTGTGTCAGTAAAACTCCCATGAGCGGTTTCTATCCCCGCCCCCCCCACCACCTTTTCTTGATGACTCGCTGTCTTCAGCAAATAATACAGATTTTTCTCTCACTTAACTCGCTGTTTTCACTGCAGTTAGGCTGACATGTTTGCCGAAAACACAGGACGCTACATTTTTAAAATTTGTTTAAAGTAAAGATTGGCTCACAATCTTTACCTATTAGCATACAGCTATTGCTGTACCTTTAGTGAACCGCATGTTGTTGGTGACTGGCATTAAGCCGGCCCATTCTTTCAGAGCTCCCTAGGCCTTCCCAACATCTTCTATTTGGCTGCAGACCCAGTTTGCCGACCTGGGATGAGGGCAGGACTCCCTTACCTGGCTCACAGGCTTCCCAGTCTTGGGCCTCAGGCCGGTGGGAGTGGCTAGTTGGTAATGGAGACCCGCATGCTGCAGGTACTTCTGCAGAGATCGGCCCAGCTCCACCTCCGTGGGCTTGAGGTTCTGATTGGCCACCCTGTCACAGCGTGAGACATGCAGAGAAGTTGGCATCAGTCCTGCAGCCCTGTAACCTGGTCCTTCTGAAGCACAGACATGCTGATTTCAGCAAAGCACCTGTAGACCACCTGCCCTATAGACTCTCTGCGTGAACATTCATCAGATGAACTTGACCACCTCCACTATAGACACTCCGCGTGAACATTCATCAGATGAACTTGAATAGCACCAATTTTTTCAGCATAGAATAACCAGCCCATCATTAAACCTTTCCAAAAGAAAGATTTGGGAGTGGTACGATCAGTTACAGATCAATCCACATGCAGATTGGCATATATGGCAACAATAAAAAGCATTTCACAAATAAATCCATCAAGATTATACGAGAACATTAAAAGATCGCTAGTCAAATTCGTTCAGCTAAAGAATCAGGCTTTTGATCAGCCCAGTAAATTCACTGGTCGCCCAATGTAGAGAACATTTATTGCGGAGTTAAAGGACACTCCGCCAACGGTGAGCACCGACCTGGATTTGGTGCTGCCGTCCACTGAGACCGTGTCTGGATATCGGTAGGAAACCTTCCGCAGTTTGGACAGCTCCTGAGCGACAGCCTGTTGAGTGGCGTCATCCTCCCAAGATAATCCTGCAACCGGGGGTTACGACAAAACACGCAGATGTTTGAAGGTCTCCTTGCACAGTTCCTCATGCCTGACACGCCATACATACCCAAGGAAGTGATTCATAACTATATTTATGATGCAAAGACACACCGCAGGAACACTGGGGCCTCACACAGCCCGAAAGGTACCATATCAAATGAAACAAATTAGAAACCCTTACAAATTGCCGTATAACGTTGAAAATGTGCAGCTAATGGCTGAATTATATCACCATGTTTGTGACGACACAGAAGTCGTTACTGACACTTCAAACCGCTCAAATACCCGCTCAAATACCCGCTCAAATACCCGCCCCGTACATTTCAGTCTGGCAACAGTGTTCCGTCATTGCCAAACGAATCCTCAAAGACCGTACCGTCTACATAAACATGACGAAAGGAAACTGCAGGTACGACCTCGGTAGCCCGATTTTTCATCGGCGTACATAAAGTATGCAAATTTGTTTTCATGGCTACCATATGAAGGTGCCCAGCTATGCAGACCTGTCAGAGATGTGTCCCATGACACCATTGAACGTGACACAGAAGTCCGAAGCCTGGGAGTCTGGATCGTAGCCAAGCGCATTTAACACGGCCGGGAGAGGGGCCGCTCGCCGCCGCCCGCCGCGGCGCCATAGATCATCGCAGGCATGGCTCTCGCCAGATGGGGACAGATCCAGCTTTAACATTCACTCGACATAAAGTAGCAGCTAGTCAATGATCGTCTTAATGGGATATGTAACGGCGAGAGGCGCAATTGTTTTCTAAACAGACGGCGTGTGACACGGCGGTTAGATTAACGGCAACCCCTGCCAGGCTGCTCCGAGGCCCCCGCATTGCGTAACCACGGAAGCGGAACACTCCCTCACCCCCCCGCCCACTCACCGACACCCCTGAAATGCTGCAGTCTTAATGTTTGCCCTACTTCTCAGCCAATCATTTCACGGCATCCGCCGGGACACAAGTGGGGCATCTCGCTTCACGGTGACAAGCCGGCGTCCACCTTCAGGACAGCCAGAGTTTGGGGGGGAGAGACCGTCCTCCATTATTGGCACGATTTACCGGCCCGCAATCGAGAGCAGAACTCCACTGGGTCTCGGAGGTCCTTATGGTTCATTATCATTCGCGTGATGCAGATCCCCAGACGAGTGGAAATTTTCCGAAAACAGCCACTAAAATGTCACTAGCCGTGGCCAGCCTGCACGACTCCCGCAGAGGTGCGGCCCTTTATTAGCCGGTCCCCCTCCGCTGTCCCTTTGTCAGGAAGACAGCGAGCTCTTAGGTGCGCGGTAGAGGAAGATAGACTGCTCTCAAATGGATCGCGCGGGGCCTTCCTTCAGGGCAAGACAAACGGCAAGGCTTTGTTTTAATGTCACTGTAATCCATCACGGTGCCGCGACAAGCTCGCGGCACAGCGCCCAGGGCTGGCTAACCGCGTTGCTTGGTGCTCCGGGTTGCCACCACTGCCAAGAACGCAGATCACGTGATCAGGTGGTGGGGGGGGGGTGTCAGGAACACAGAGCAGCAGGTGCCACTGAGCCTTACACCCATTTGAACATCTGTATATTAACAACAAACTAAAGGAGTCTATGGTCACTGCTTAAGGGGTAGATCTAGGGAGGATGCCTGAGGAATGCAGTCTCCAGTACGGGAGGGAAACTGGCTTCTCTCTCTTTAAAGCAGGGGTCTGCAACTCCGGTCCTGGGGAGCTACTGTCCAGCAGGTTTTCTATCCTACCCGGCTACTGATGAGCCACACCTGCTCCTGGTATTTACCTGAGAACAGGTGTGGCTCATCAGAAGCCAGGTAGGATAGAAAACCTACTGGACGGTAGCTCCCCAGGACTGGAGTTGGAGAACCCTGCTTTAAGGCGACTCTGGATGATGTTTCCCGATCACCTGAGAAACATCCCGTTCTCTGACATCGCCCGAAAATGCATATAGGGCTCCCACCTCCTCAACGGCCAAGCAAAAAGCCCCAAAAAGCATCGTGCACTAAAGGAGGGGGGAGGGGCAGGATTTTGACAGAGGAGACGCTGGCGTTCATTTCCAAAGGACGGATCCGCTAGGGTGGCTTCGTTAATCAACGGCTCCCCGACGAGGAGCTAATCAAGCCGTCGGGAGCGAGGGCCGTCTAGCGGATCGGCGACCGTTGGACCGCCGCGCGACGTTGGTGCAAAGTGCCGCGTAATGAACACGACGCGCTTGATAGCGCGTCTACTTCACTAAGCCTATCTGCGCCGACAGCGATGAGGCAAGGCTGAGTGTCTGCGAAGTGCCTCTTCGGAATAGATCACCCCGGCCGTCGTAGATCACCACGCTAAAAATAGCGCTAATTCTCCGCCTTTTAGCTGACTTAAAGCCACAGGTGCACCAGCCCTGCAGAGATGGACGGTTAGCCGCATTCTCCAAGCTAAGGTTAGTCTGAGAGGGTTAAGCAGCAACATCTTCCATAACAACCAGCACCTCAAACCAAAGAAGCTGACAGAGAACATCATCATAGAACAAACACCATAATTCGGGTGCTTCGGGATTCTGGTTCGGCAAATAGCTTGGGGGGGTACAGTGGTATTGTTAAGAAAGAGATCAGATTCACGTTCATTGATTTGGTCCTATTGTGGGGGTGGTGTGACCGTGCTGGTTTCAGATTGGCCCAGTCTACCTGGAGTCCATTCCCACTTGGCGCGTAACTGCTGCACATGTGTCTCTATGCATGTGACAAGACTGCAGAGAAAATGACATCGTCATTCCGTTTAAGTCATCCCACGACAGGCTGCAAATTCAAAAACCGACAGGAAGAACAACCGGTAACCCTTTAATTAAAGTAGTCATCATAAGGCATTATAATATGTTCATAAAGTATTACGAACAGGGCTGTAACTATTTATAAAAAGGCAAAACACATTATAGCCATGTCTATTATGCATTATGAATGCTCTATGAAGCTCTCATCTATAATGCACTATGAATACCTTCATAATTCATTATAATGGTCAGTATAAGAATTAAGGATGCTTTGTACTGCATTATCAAGTTATTTATAGTGCATTATAGATGAGAGCTTCACAGAGCATTCATAATGCATAATAAACATGGCTATAGTGTGCTATGCTTTTTAATATACAGTTATATCCATGTTTATAATACTTTACGAATGCATTATGAAGGTATCTATAATGCATCATGATGGCTACTTTGAATAAAGTGTTACTGAGCAGCCTTGCAGAGCAGCTCCTGTCCAACACGTCCGGACCTCTTCACGGCGATTAAGCGGAGAGCCGCAGCCCGGCGAAGGCTGACAGCTGCATAATGGCGTGATCAGACGGCGAACTGACTCCGCTCCCGCCCGCCCCCGCTCCGCCCCACGGCAACGCTAAAGGCTAAACTGCTCTCATCATGGCAGCTTCGCGGTGGAGGAGATGGGGGCCAGGCACGCCGATCACTAAGGGGGGGGGGGTCGTCCCAGGGATGCTTCAGCCTCTCCGCTGTGATCCAATCTCCCAGCAGGACTGCAGAAAAGCTCGACAAAGGAGGGGAAATAGGGGCGCTCCTGCCCCCCCCCCGAGCGACATCACAGGCTGTGCTGTTCCGATGGAGGGCACCCAGGCACCTGCATCACTATGGATCACGACTCAATCGCCACGTCTTTTTAAAATTATGGCTGCCAGTAATAATGACTGTTCCCCACGGCAGAGGTCCAGATATCGTCAATCACGCGTAGACAGAGAAAAGGCCCACGAAACGATGCTTATCCTTCAGATGAGATGAAGGTGAGGGAAAGGACATTGTGGTCTGTGTTGGGGATGTGAGCCTTTCTGCCTAATGAAGGCACTTCACCTCCTTTGAGTTAATGCACAGCACCTGTTGAGAACAGTTAGTCTAGGTGTCAGTGCAAAAGGTTAGTCATGTGACCCAAGCAAATGATCAGACCACACAACAAAGTTTACATATTGTTTTCTATGGAAAAGAATGTGATTTATGGTTTTTCTGGGTTTTTTTCTGATGACGAAATTGAAGGCTGGCTCTTTAATGTAAAGGGATTTGTTGCCCCCTGTCAGTACAATATGGTAACTACAGGACACTAATAGCACACATCCACAAACCCCCCCAAGAAGAGACTACAGAGCTGAGCTTCAAAATCGGAATAATTCTGCTTTCTGCTGACACGTAGAATAAAGCCTCCAGAGATTCACTCATACTCACCTTAAGGTGGCTCTTATTTCTACAAGAAGTCATGGATATTTGCAGGAAATCGAGTTTAATGTAAGAGGAGCCCACCACTACAGGTCAGAGTGAAGACAAGAGATATTTATTGTGAGTCTAAGCGAAGAAGATATTTTATTGTGGGTGAGAGTGAAAGAAGCAGAGAGTTCACTGTGAGACGGCATGCAGGGCATGGGATGGTGGAGGAATGAACAACACATACTTCTGTGAGCCAGCCTCTGCAGAAGGGTCCTCAAGCGCTGCAGGACGTTTGGAGAGACCTGGTAGGTGTACAGGTCTGTCACTGGGACTGGCGAGCACCTCCCAAACACTCCATCTGCAAGAGAGAAGAAAATGCAGAGCTCAGTCGAAGCCCCCATCACAGGCACCAGGCCAATACTGAAGATGGAACAGTGACAGCACAGGGACAGCACAGGGACAACACAGGGACAGCACAGGGACATCATGTGGACAGGCCAAGGACAGCACTGGGACAGCATTAAGAAAGGCCAGGTACAATGCAGGGACAGCACAGGGACAGGCCAGAGACAACACAGGGACAGCACAGGGACAGGCCAGAGACAACACAGGGACAGCACAGGGACAGGCCAGGGACAACACAGGGACAGGCCAGGGACAATGCAAGGACAGCACTGGGACAGGCCAGAGACAACACAGGGACAGCACAGGGACAGGCCAGGGACAACACAGGGACAGGCCAGTGACAACACAGGGACAGGTTAGGGACAGAACAGGGACGGCATGGGGACAACACAGGGACAACACAGGGACAGCAAAGGGACAGGTCAGGGACAATGCAGGGACAGCACAGGGACAGGCCAGAGACAACACAGGGACAGCACAGGGACAGGCCAGTGACAACACAGGGACAGCACAGGGACAGGCCAGGGACAACATTGGGGTGGTCCAGGTAAAAGTAATGACTGCTCTCCCCCTGTCAAACCCATTACCACGTCCAAGTGATCGGTGGGCTGACAGAGACACACTCGTCACTCTAATACCTCCGACACCCATATTTTTACATGCAGTCGGGTCCTTGGAAACAGACATTTTAATGCAGCGCAGTGACCAGTTAATGGCAGCCATCAGTCAGTGACACAGTGACCCATGAGGTATGCGGCTGCGAGCTTCGGTCACCGCGAAACAGGACGTCAGCAAATAACATCAAGGCCCATTTGTTTTAAGTAGCAAATGTTTAGTGTCCTGCTGTTAGAGAAAAAAAAATCACAGTCAGATCCCACAATATGAGAAATCTCACTCATAGAAAACAGCGAAGACACGCAATGTGTGAAATCGCATTCAGGGGAAAAACAAAACACACATAATGAGTAAAATTTCAATCATGGAAAAGAAAGCATTTCGTTCAGCGGAGTGGCTGACAAACTTTTTGAAAACACTCAATCTAAAGGAGTTGCATATATATTTCAAAGGTATTGACTGTATTTTTCATTTAAAAAAAACAAGATGAGTCTGTGGTCTTCCCATGGAATTTAGGCTTTTTTTGGTACACAGTCAGTTCTTTAACCGCAGCGCCACCTGCTGTTCAGAGGCCTCGGAAATGACGTCATCATTGACAAACTGCACAGTCACGCACATCTTGATCTTTAGCTTGGGTGGTGACAGATGGCGTTTCCGACGGAATCATATCAGGGTTTAGCTGAGCAGCACGACGTCTATAAGGAGGCTTTATCTACAAACGGCCATCTTCACAGCGGCAGGAAGAGTCCGCGTTTCCAGCCCGCCGTGGTCGGCGACACGGTCCAGATGCTGTCTCGGCCGGAAGACAGGGGACTGTGTTTTTTGGGCCCGAGGGGAGGGTGGATGACGGAGTCTAAAAGAGACACGATCTCGGGGGGATATTTATACTCTCATCGTCACGGAAGGGGGCCGACGATCATTTTCCGTCTGAAAACGGGAAAGTGGGAGTGGTCAGACTAGACATGAGACACGGGAACGTCAAGCGCTGCTCATCTTCATATCCAGGCCTGTGTGGGATTTTGTAAAGTATGCAAATGTATCTACTGGGTCTAAGAGGGACCCCAGCCTGATGACCGAGGGTGTCCCTGTCTCTTGGGACCTTAGAGGTGGAGATTGTCACAAGAAGTCCCTCCTCAGCAATAATCACAAAAAAAAAAAGAAAAAAGCCTTGGCAGACCAGTTACTCCCATGTGGGGCTCTTGGCCGCGTTTCACCCCGTGCCCCCCCCCACCACCCACCCACCGTGACGGCTTCGCTTTCCTTCCTCCTCGCAGTGTTCGATCAGCCACGTAAAAGCCGGCGCCTGTGAGATCCGCGGACACCAGAGTGCCCCTGGAAGCCGACGGAACGTTCCGGAACGTCTCCTGGCTTAGCGCCCGGCTGAGCCCCGTGCCGCCGTCGCAGTCGAGGCGAGAGGCGGCATCAGCTAATCAGGTCGAGCTTTTATCCCGGCGAAATGATTGCAATCAGCCCGGCGAAAGCTATTTTTAGGTATTCCCCATTTTAACCGTCACCCTGCGATTAGGGACGAGATCCCCATGTGATGTGGACGGCCAGATCCAATCCCGGCCGTCCACACCTCGCGGCACGAGGCCGTCCACACTGCCACGCGCTGGCCTGCGATATTACATTTTATAAAAAGATACAAAGAGTGTATAATACTGACAGTTTGCTTAATTAAACGGGAAGTTAACAAATAGTTTCTTATCACTGTGCTTTTGCGCATTTCTAACTTGACAGTGTGGGTATGAATGTTCTACAAAGGATCAGTTACAATGATGGGTCATAATCACCCCCACGAATGCTTAACTCTGTCCGCTGTCACAGAGAGATCCCCGAAGCGGCGGTTCAGTAATAGCTTTCTTCAGCTTGATTTATGGCTTAGGCTGTAGCCGGGGAGAATCTGGAAGCCGACTCAGCTAGAACCGCTGCGTAATAACGCCAAGACGCTTAATATTTTCATTTTTTTTCTCCACCAGGTGGCAGAGTGTTTAAGGAAACGCGAGGTTTGTCAGGTAGCTCTCTCTGTACACACTAGCAGGCAACTTTCGATAATTAGAAGACTTGCTGTGGGCAACAGAGGTTGAAAATAATCATGGGATATGGGATAAGGGAGGGGGTGTGGTGGTGGGGGGGGGGCGTAATCTCATCAGCAGATGGAAACACGCAAAAGACAACAAAACAGGCGTCAGGTCGTGGAGAGGAGGCTGGACCAAGGCATGAGCGCCTGGCCGTCTGTTCCGGACCGGAGAAAAAAACAGAAGTCAGAGTTACGTTTGATTGATAGCAAGTCGCCTGAGTTTGCCTCACCCCCGGACATGTGCGACCCCCCCCATCCGTCTTAAATTAATCCACCTGTGTACATCTGCGAGCAGCACAGAAAAAAAAAACATGTCCCCAGCAACTCATTAATTAAAGTAATTGACTAATCCCTAACGGGAGTGACCCCGTGACCAGCAGGCCTGACTTCCTCTCAGACAGACAAACGGCCTGCTCCATCTGCCTCCGCTCACGGCCACCGGGGGCACTGTGCTAAATATCCCTCTGCGATTCACAGCTTGCGACAATGTTTTTTTTTTACATATGAAAAAACAATGCTGACTATTTCAAGCTACTGGCAAACTGGAACAGATGGCTTTTTATATTTCCGACCATTTTCTGTTCAATTTACGAAAGAAAAAAAAAAAAAGGATAATTATTTCTATGCTCTCTATGAGGGAGAAGTAGCCATCTCGACTCTAAGGCACGAAGGGAAACAGGATTGTCAGTAAACAAGTCGCGGGGTCTCCGGTTGGGAGCGGCCCTGCAGCCGAGCGGTAACAGTGGCCTCCCAAGGCTCCGAATCCCCGTGTCCAGACTATACAGTCGATAACAGAGTCAGGCTGAGTAGATGCAAGAGCAATGGATTGAGTCACAGAAAGTATGTTGGGGTGGAGCCAGCGGATCTGGGCGAGAGCATCCAGGGAATGAAATGGCACAAACTCCTTAGAGGAACGAAGAACTCCACAACACACAAACAACTGGGCCGTGGGGAACCAGGGGCCTCATTTATCCAAGTGTGCGTGGATCAAGTCCTAAATGTGTGCATATGAATCACTGGTACAGAGGGAAATTGGTATTTATCACTCCTGCGTAATTTAAATAAACACCCTCAATAACCATATATAGGCACATCACTTCTGAATAACACGTCAAACTGCACAGTAGGGAGAGGAAACTTTGACGAGACATATACTCCTATATCCTTATTCCTGTTTATGATATATTTTGCACTATACACTTGTATTGCTGTTTTGTAATTGTATTTTGCTAACGAAAAACTTTTTTTTTTTTTTTTTTAAACTAAAGCGGGGAAAAAAACAGAACTTAACCAAGAATGAGGTGAAAGTTTTGCTAGACATAATGGAGAAAAAAATGGGCAGTGTGTGGCCACCTTTACCAGTGGCCTGTCACAGAGAAGGACCTGGCAAGGGGCACAGGTGACACGTGCAGTTAATGCTGTGTCACCCGTAACGAGACCGACGGCACAGGTGAGGAAGAAGCCACACGACCTGAGAGTGACCGCGAAGAACGGCCGCGGCGCACAGATCCCACGTCTGTGCCACGGGGGGGTGGCCCATGTACCACGTCAGTGTCACCGCAGGATGGCGACACACCTGCCATCATAAGCGAAATGTCCCTAACAGGAATCATTCCCGCTGGTGACAATGACAGTGCAGCTCCACCACCCATGGATGAGGCCGGGCAATCAGAAATAGGTACGGTAATGTTGTGGTTCAGTTTGACTGGCTGCAGCAAGTAACGTGTGTCGAGCACCAACATAGACCGACAGGTGAATGTTGCTGAAATTGAGCCAGACACATCAGCTGTCTTGTAAACCGTATATTTAGTGACGGCGATATATTATGTCTTTGGACATAGACCTCATATGACTTAGGAACGATTCCTTGTCATTAGCGTGAGCTGCCGGCACACACTATGCATGAACATAACTAGATGATTCTATTTGTTTATTGAGGTGTGAGGGTTAAGCGGGATCTAAGCGTTTCCAAGGTGCCGACCGGTTTACAACAGATATACTTCTCTGCTGCTAAAGGTTTGTGTGACTGGGAGTATTTGTAAATATGTATATGCACATTTCTATGCGCAGGACAAAACTGATAAATACCACTGTATGTGTAAAAATGTGAGCGTGCACAGTTTACACACAGATCTGTTTATATGCACAGTGTATAAATGAGAGCCCAGAATTGGACCAGAACTTTTTGGGACAGTGCCTGTAGATGGGTTTGGAGCTCAGAAGTGAATAAGATGATTTGGCCCTTCTAACACGCTTGT